CGTATTTTTGTGCCTACGAAAGAAGTAAAGAAACCAAAACTGAGATATCTCCATTCTCGTTTCTGGGCCTCCAAAAACGGAGGTGACGTAGGGTGTGACGCCAAGTGTGAATTGTCGGTATCGGTAGTATTTAGGAGATCGAGACTCTGGTTACCGCGGTGGGTTATAGCACCGCGGTGGCGCGGTCATTTCGTCGAATCTGTCAACATGGACTGCGATGCCGCTCTAGCGAGCGACTTCGAGCTTCCGTTCAGTCACCAAACACAAACGGAACGGGAGTACGTGTGTGGCGGCCTCCGCCATCACCCTACGGAGACCGCACAGCCGGTAACGAGCGGCTCGCATGCCCAAGTGCCCATAGTTGCTCGTTGGCCGTTTCGCGTCCAAGGTAGCAAAGAAAAAAAAAAAAGAAAAAAACAATTAGGCTGGTTTATTTACGGTTTAGTAATCATCTCCGGTCCGATTTACACTTTTCATGGTTATTCAAGCGGAAATTAGAACAGTATTTCTAAAAATCGCGACCCAAAACGTGACCGAGGGCACGTCTCTCGTTCCGACCAATCGCTGACGCGTCTCTTGTGACGTCGTGCTTCTTGGCCCCGCATCGGTCACGTGAGCTCCGCTTTAACTGGCTTCTCCCGCAACTCTTGGGGCGTCGCCCCAGTCTATCCCGGTACGATTATTACCGTGACTGTTTAATTGATTTGCGCGGCACACAAGCGCCGGTTTCGACTGAAATTCGGGCAACGTGGCCTGAGACGTGCCTGAAACCCAGTTCAATTACCAAAAATATGTACGAAATTACCTTCATTGTCCCTTTAACCGGTACTCTGTGATGCTTGTAATCGTGTTGTGCTTTTGTTAATGTAGTTCTGCAACTTAGCGTGACCCAATGTGTGACAAGTGTATCCTTCACAGATGAAAAATTGAGCCAGTGTGAATGCTAGCCTGGGGTGTTTAACTCGGTCATGCAGTAGTGAGACAACCGCATGGGGTACGATGCTCATTGAGATCGAAACAGGCTGGTATGAAACCGAAGATTCCTGGTCCTGCAGAGCTAGATTTTACTCCAGGTTCTGGTAGCTACGGTGCGCTAACACATTCGGCCACTGTTCTGTATTTTAAATTATGCTTTATGGGCACGTTTTCTGGTTCAATTGCATTGAGGGCTAGACTTGTTTCTCTTAAATGTCAATTAAAATGTTTGCAATGTGTGAAATTCTGGTAAAACGTCTTGGTTCAAACAATATATACTTTAATGCGACAGCATTGTTTAGCTACCTCTCGCCCCCCCCCCCCCCCCCCCCCCTCCCCCCCGCCCCCCAGTTTGTGGACCTTTCTAACCTCCGAACGCGCAGCTTTTCCGCTAAGCTTTGCGGAAAATTCGACGTCCCTTGACCTATACACTAACTCAGTTTCTCCGCTAAACTTAATGGGAAATTTGATGCAACGTGACCTGACACCACGGGAGCTACAAAGCAATTCAGTTTCCCCGCTAAATTTAGCGCGAAAATTGATGTCACACGACCTATGCACCAATTCAGTTTGCCCGCCATATCCAGCGAGAAATTGGATGTCTCCTTACCTGACGTCACGGGATGTAGAAACCAACTCAGTTACCCCGCTAAATTTAGCGGAAAAATTGACATCTCATTACCTGTGACCCAATTCAGTTTCCCCACTAAATTTAGAGGAAATTTGATGCCACCTGCTCTGAAGTCACGCTACGTACAAACCAATTCAGTTTCCCCACTAAACTTAGCAAAAAAAAAACTGACGAGGACGGCGTTAAGAACGACATTGAGGACGACGTCAAGGACCAGGTCTAGGACAACCTCTAGGACGGCCTCTAGGGCTGTAACCCCTACTGGCTGTCCTGGACGTCGTCCTTGAGGTTGTCTAAACGTCGTCCTTGAGGTCGTTTTAACGTCGTTTTTAACGTCGTCTCCAGGATGTCGTCCTCGACGCCGTCTTTAACACCGTCCTTGACGTCGTCCATGGCCTCGTAATAAAAGGAGCTAAACATGACGAATGCCATCAAAATTCATAGTTAACCAACAATAGTGGTTTCTGCAGCTAATTTTTTTCAGATGATAATCTTTATAAACCGTTTATTTTAGAGCGCAGCTCTTAGGCACCCGTTTCCGGCTTGAGCGGCGTCGGCGTCGGCGTCGGCGTAACCGCGCGGTGCATTATTGGGAATGTCCCATAATGCACCGCGCGAGCCCCCCGGGATCACGTGACCTCGAGGGGGGACACGTGACCACCCCGAGGTCACGTGACCCCCCGAGGTCACGTGACCCCCCCGTCTCCCCGAGGTCACGTGACCCCCCGAAGTTACTTGACTCCCCTGAGGTCACGTGACCCCCTTTCCGAGGTCACGTGACCCCCCTCATGACGTCATCGTCACTGATGACGTCACCGGCATCCACATCGTCATCATCACTGATGACATCATCAGTAACGTCACTGATGAGCTCACCGGCATCCGCATCGTCATCGTCATCATCCCTGATGACTTCATCAGTGACGTCACTGATGGCGTCACCGACATCCGCATCGTCGTCATCATCACTGATGACGTCGTCAGTGACGTCACTGATGTCGTCACCGGCATCCGCATCGTCATCATCATCATCACTGATGACGTCATCAGTGACGTCGCTGATGACGTCACCGACATCTGCATCGTCATCGTCATCATCACTGATGATATCATCAGTGACGCCACTATACTCTGCGACAACATTTTTTGGCAATGCCGTGGAAGGTACGTCCCGCGTCCCCTCTCCCATTTTGAGTGTACGCAGGCTCTACTCCTCCCCCATTTCCGAGGAGAGGAGAAGAGCCTGCACACACTCAAAATGGGAGAGGGGACGCGGGACGTATCTTCCACTGCATTGCCAAGAAAAGTTGTCGCGGAGTATAATGACGTCATCGGTATCCGTATCCTCATCGTCACTGATGACGTCATCAGTGACGTCACTGATGACATCATCGGCATTGTCGTCGTCACGTGACCCCCAGGTCACGTGACCCCCAAGGTCACGTGACCCTCCCCGGTCAGTTGACCCCCCACAGTACCCTTTCCTCCTCATCCTCAAGAGCTGCGCTTTAATTAGGCGTTACAGGGAGTTGTAAACGGCTTTCACTTTTTCTTTGTTTTTCTGGAAAATATTTCGTTTCTTCAAATTCCTTTGCTTTTTTAAGGTAAAAAGGTGAAAACTTTTTTTGAGTATACATTACAAGCATAATTATTTGTATAATTCAAGCTAACGAACATAAGAGTAAATGCCAACAAAAAAATTAAGAATATGGCAGAAACAAATAAATACTACTTAGCTTCGCATCATAAATTAGAACTTCAAATACTGTATATTATCTTTTCGAATGTACGGATTTGTAGTCCAAGTCCAAATAATATGTTACAACTGATTTTAAAGTCATAGCTTTGCGGGCGACACTTCCCAGACAGAACACCAGTGTTGACCCTGCGTTGGCGCAATTCATTACGCCGAAAAATATCTCGTTTGTGTCTTTTTTTATAAAATTTATTATTCCAGTACTTTGCTAAAAACAAACAAATTTTAAATCCTGTTTTCATCTCGCGCGCGTAGATCATCAATTTAAAGTCGGAATTCCTCATTGCATTACCTCAGCCTATTGTAACTCTTTTATTCCAAAGACATCTTCAGGGTGGAATCGCCTTCCCGCGCAATTAGTAAACATACCGTCCTTTGACTTGTTTAAAAGTGCGTTGACTACTTACCTATGTTAATGTTTTTCTTTGTTTGTTTGCCTTCTATACATTTCTTAATTTGGTTACACATTTTTTTTTACATTTTTAGTGCTTGGCTTTTAGTGTTCGCATATTGTTTGTGTTTCAAATTTGTCTTGTACCACTCCCCTCTTTAATGCCCCAGGGCCTTGAGGGTACTTAAATAAATAAACAAACATTTGACTGGATTCCAGTATTGAACCCAATATTGAAGCCCGACCCGCTCCAACGTTGGACCTATGATATTTCAAATATTGGGCCAATGGCAATCCAAGGTTTCTGCCATCACTATTCTAATATTGGCATTCCAATTTATTTATTTAAATACCGATATCTCTGACCAATATTACGCCATGATTTCCCATTTGGATTCGAATAATACTCTAGGACTTCCAGTATGCTGTCCAGTGATAGGCTAAGAGTTCCGATATTCATACCCAATATTATGCCGCAATTTTTGATACCAGTATCCAATATTGTGCCACGATTTTCGACACTGTTGTCTAATATTATGCCGCGATTTTTGATATTGGTATGCAATGATAGGCCATTTTAGTGCAATAATGTTAAACGAAAGTATTCTGGCTTTTTCGATATTGTAATCCAATAACAAAACAATATCTCCGATGTAGGCATCCAGTTAGATACGTTGTCCTCTGTATTGACAACCAATTAAATTGTATTTTTAAAATGTTGTTATTTATTATTAGCCCAGATTTTCTGATCTTGTAATTTTGAATAGCCCATTTTTTATAATTATCTTAAGCAGGAAAAACTGGAACCGCACTGATAATGGCCAGCTCTTTCAGCCGAGTTTTGACAATTGTTTGGCAAAAACATGCTTTAATAATAGCTAATATGATTAATGACGAGTGAGCATTTCTTATATCATATGTGATCGTTTTTAAAGGGACACTGACAGGGTATTTATGCTCGCCGAGGTTTTTAGTTGTACCTGACATATGAGAGCTCAACTACCCAGAACAGAATTTGCGGCTCGAAATTCGGTTTCTTTCCGCCCGAAAACCGCCGACCAAGAATTGGCCGGTTCGAGTCTCGCTCACTCTCTTTTCCGCGGTCACGGGCCGTTTTCTAAGGTATCGATGCGACCACCAAATTTAACCAAAGTCGTAGGCCAGTGAATGCACACACTCAGTATTAAAAATAGAAAAAAATATGAAACCCATTTTTTGTGGCTTCTAAAAAGCTGTAATAACGTTGATTGAAAAAAAAGGTGCACAGACAACCGGAAGCCTTCTGTGCGTTCACTGCGTAGATAGTTCCCAACATGGCGTCGTCTCGCGTATGGTGGGTCTAGCGTGCTGGACGGCGATGGCAGCGGGCGACGGGCGTGCGGCTTCTACTTCGTTCGCGGTACCGGCGAATCTTTCTTCCTTCGAGAGAGAAATCTTGGCCAGAACAAAACAATTGGGATTCGTCCCATACGATACGCCCGACCAGCAAGCCGATTTGGACGAAGACGTCGCCGAGTCGTCGCCCCTTCTCGTGGCTGAAGACATCGTCCGTCTTACGAACACAAATTGGTAAGAGCTTGAAAAACGCGCAAACGTCAAGCACGAAGTGCGTACATCGAATTGAATATGCACGCGTACGATTTCTTTACTAGGTGCGAATGTGGCCAATGCGTGGTGCTGCCCGACTTCGAGCCCGGAGAATGCCTTTGCTGCAGAGAAGTTGGCAGCAAACTTTTCGCCCTGCAGTCGACCGGCTGCATCACTACGAACGTGGAGTTCCCCCTCGTCTGCCTCAACGTTACGATGTTGAAACTAGCCTACTTCGAGCTGCACGATAGGAAGCTGCCTATGCCAAATGAGACCCACAGGTAAGCTATTATGCCCCTAGGAAGTGGATACCCTGCCGATAGCCGACACAACCCGGAAAAAAAAAATTGCTTGCAGTTGTCCCCCATTGGGTCTAGTATAAAACGAATTATAAATCTTATATTACAGCTGTAGAGTAGCTCAGCGGAGAGGCGTCTGCTTCACACGCAGCGGACACTGGTTCGATCCCAAGAATGTGCATACTTTTTTTTTTTTTTATCTATCACATTTGGCGATATTTCCATATTTCTTTTTTACAATTATCACGAAAAAAAAATGTTTTCGACGAAACGTCGCTGAAGTCGTATGGACCTCCCTTACCAGGAAAGGAGGGGGGGGGGGGGGAGGGAGGGGAGGGGCGGGGAGGGGAGCAGGGGCCAGGGCAGGGCAGGGCAGGGCAATGAGGACAGCAGGGCTTGGGCCAAGTGGGTCAATTTTTGTAATGCGCAGCCGCAGACTGTCGCCATGAAGCAGCGTGAACGGAGGCGAGGGAGTGGCCAAATTGCCAACACGCTTGTGCTGGCAATTTTTTTTTCCCAGGTTCTGCTGGCTGCCAGCAAAACATCCTTGTCCCATGTTGTTACACTTCGCTAGTGCTGAAAAATTCTGATAAAAAAGAAATTGGATAAAGTATTCTCATTTTCGTTTTATCGTAATTTTAGGCTCTACCGGTACACTGCATTTCGGCGGTTTGTACGCTGGGTATGGGGCAGGCTGGGCAGAGGGAGGAGACTCGTCTTGCCTTCATGCGTCGTCGGTGCCATCCGGAATGCTTTCCCCAGCGAAAGCACCACAGGATTCCGATATCCACGATTCCCAAGGTACGTACAATTGTTTTCTTTCTTTTTGTCACCTCAAAATTTAATTTCCGGACCCCTTCTCGCATCACTGATACAGACGTACCACACCTCAAGGGAGAAAGCAATACACCTTTTTCAAAAATACATAGTGCGTATATGCCGGGTGTGTATGAACACAGCGCTGCACAAGGGAGCGACGACATTGCTTTGTGCAAGGCAATCTAATCCTGTTGGCTCCATTGAGCTGCAGTGACCCAGACTGAGTTCTCCCATCACCTTTCTGCCAGTTTCGGGTAGTGTCTTGTCCTCCGATCCTACAAAGAAGCTTTTTCGCCTTCTTTTCCAAGTGCTCTCATTATTTCATACCAAACAATCTTGCAGCATTTTGAAAAATGTGGATTATGCCACTGGTGCATTACCTTATTGAGGCTCTCACTGCGCACATTTCTAAAGCTTGTTGAAGCTCAATAATAGGGTTGCACAGTTGAATGTATCCAGAATTCCAATGTTCCCCTCGAAAGAACTTTTCTTCCCTTATCATTTATCATTGTCCGTGACGCATTTGCTAAAAGCGCGTCAGTTCATTTCATGAGACCCATATCTATTTCGAACATCTTTGCAACGTTTTTGTTCTGCAGCGTTCAGGCAAGGCAGAAGTTGGTAACAACTTGTCGTGAAGCCAAAATAAAACCTAAACAATCACACATTCTTCGCCCCTAATCTAAGACTGTGATTGGAGCTACGTGTCCGCTGAACTGATCAGCCGCCTACCTTTTGGCAACTGGCTTGGTGCACGTGGGTATGGGCTAGGGCATGATCATGCAGCGAAAGAGAGGCATATGATTGGTCCAACGAGAGTGTCACTTTTACCACGGTTTCAGCTCAGGGCTGAATGGAGTATAGAGTGCATTGATATGCAGAAATACCAGAATTCCTTAGAAAGCATTCTGACGAAATATGTAATACCGTGCAACCCTTGCAGTGATATGGTTATTTATACTTACTAACCTTTAGTCTATCGATTATGATGGTCAGAAGGTTTTTTATGGGGCAGACATCCTCCTCCTGAAAATAATGGCAGGAACCTTTCTTTGCAAATTAGGGACAGAGTCACTTGAGGTTCCCTCTAATTGAGCTGCTCACAAGCTATGTTATTGTAAAATGATCTAGGGGAAGTAGTGGTTAGAGCTTAGTTTTTGTACCGAGAAACTGGAATATTCTTTTAAAATCTGCCCGTACACAATTTAACTAACTTGAAATAATGCACCTCAAATGCCTCTTGGCACATTTATCACGGGTCTTCTGTTGAGGCCATTATTAAAGCTTCCATACCTTTGGTGCTGCATTTTCATTATGTGACTGTTGCAAATTGAGTTCTAAACCAACCAGCCATCCGCATCTTTTGTAGAGGGAATGACAATTTATACCCATTACAGTTCGCACCAGAGCAAGAGAAAAATGCTGGTTATGAGTTGTAGTTTGGCGCTGCTAAATTCATGCCAGCAGCTCTTGATTTATTACTCGATTTTCACATTTCACACAAAAAAGGTGCCAACAAGAACAAAAAAAAAAAAAAAAAACCTAAGAAAGTATTAACTTCTAAGAACCTTTAGTACAGCACCCATGAACATAGAACACACATTGCACTGAAGAGATACACAGCCCTTTACATTATACATCACCTGGAACAAATTTATGTCAGCACAAAATAACTGCATGTTCGAATATGTCATACATAAAAACATTATTTACAATGATTAAAAAAAAAACGAGGATTAAGAATGCTGCACTGCAGAATGCCCAACATAACCAGAAAAGAATCTGACAAACAATTACACACATTCTTTTTTTCTACTTTGACATGCAGCTCTTCAATAGATTGCAGTACTTAGGACACAAACAAAGCTAGCCGGCAATCGACACGCAGCTCAGTGCCCGCAGTGGCGCGGATGGTGTCAAACTTAATTCTTCCCAAACCGTGACTTGTGGACTGCTACGAGGTTTTGTTTGGAGGGCCTCGGTTGCACCCTTGCAATCATGGGTGGAGGTGGTGGGGGGAGTGTTGAGAATTCAGCGTTGGCTTCCCTGAACGATGGCAGACGCTGGAGCCGTTCCAATACTTCGTCGAACAAAGTGTCCACATACTCTGCAAAAGGAGGGAGCACTGTATTATACATTTATATATTACCTCACAAGGTATGTGCTGTAGTCTTGAAGGCAAAAGTAAGTGAGCACTTTCTCGAAGTGCATTCTTGCAACTATCATAACCATGCAGTAAACTTTACTGCATTCACAAAGCTTACGTACGGTGTGTTATAGCACAAGAAATGCAGGAGAGGCTACACCTATAAGAACATTCATTGCACCAAGCTTGATCCCTATGCAGCAGTGGGACGTCGTGTTGCTTTTTGGTCTTTTGAATTCCCTTCTTTGCGTACATACCTATATAGAGTCGTAAAGCGTGGAATAAACGTTAAGTCTGTTTGGAGATTTGTGCTCGTGCTGTCCTCCTTGTCCCCACTCTCCAGGGTTCAAATAATGTCTGACACATTGGTGTTTTATGCACCTAAGCACATAAAGTGCCCAACGTGCTGTAGCCCATTAGGCACTGAGTACAGCTTGCTTCATGTGGGCAGAATAGCTTCTCATGTTGAAGTGAACTGCAGATTACTCTAAAAAGAGTTTCTTGAGGCAGCTCACCGTACGTTGGCTCCGTTGTGAGGGGGAACGCTGCCAGGTGATCTTTCCGGGCTTTTTGGGCCTTCACATGCCACCTGTCTTCTCCCTCAGCGGTTTGGGCCTGGAGTCGCTTGCTATTTTCATTGAAGTGCAAAATGGCGAGGTAGGTACTGGGAAAGAAATGTCAAGTGTCAGGCAATGCAAACATATATAAAAAAATTACACACTGGCTTACCGGGCACGCATTCCCTCATACGAAAAAGCAAGCGACTTCGGTGCAAATTTAATTAGGACGCTGTGAAACGACTCTAGTCCATATGTCTGGCATGATGGTGACACTTTCTTGAGGTCACGCAACAATGTTGGTGCCATCACCACTTTCAGAAATGCTTCATAGGCTGGTGATCCTGAGGAAAAAATGACGCATTGTTTTCTGGATGCATTTAAACAACAGAAACAAAAAGCTCACCTTGGCTAAGCCACTCTTTGTTTGTCAGGGGACCATGCAGACACTGAGTGAGGTGACCTTCGTGGCCATCATGAAGATCCACAACATGCCGCTTAATCGTATGCCACAAATCCAATACCGTTGGTTCATCTCCTTCACCAACCGCAGCACACCAGTAGAGATGGTTGCTGGTGGGCTGAACCCAGCTTTTTAGTTTTTTGTTGGAAGGTCGCTTACTGGCTGCTGTGAGCTTCTTCGTGATTCCTGTCAAAGTAGATTACATGATTCTTTCAATAAATGATGCACCAGCAGTTATGCTACATGTTTGTTAGTTCCTACAGTTGCACTGTATTTTTGTCGTTTATCGACATACCTTTTGACATGTGCCAACTGTCAAAAAAGTGTGTGATGGTCTGGTGGTTGGTGGCAATTTCCTTTTTAATGGCACTGTGCCGGTCTGTGGTAATGGACATGATGTTTATGCCTTCATCTTGCAGGTAGTCGAGGGCTCGGACAAAGCCCACCTTCTCCATCTGCGAGCTGGATTTCACCTCATCACACTGACGAAGAAGTAGATAAGTCAGTAACCTAGAGCAAATACTGGTACCACTATCTCTTCTACTGTTTCATAGCAGTGCTCACAATGTCATCATTTGTCTGAAAAGAATACTGACTAAACAAAAATAATTTGTCATTGCAAAATGCTAGATTATAGTGTAAGGACACTACCCAAGGTTTTATGTTCCAGAGTCACATGCTTGCACAAAAAAAACAAAGTTAAATAAAAACCAGAGAACCAGTTAGGTGCCTTGTGATGTCGGAGGAGTCGTGGAAGTCACTCACTGCGACTATGCACTCAATCTGTCTTTAAATAAAAGAGTTTGTGGTGATTCCGAAATGCAAGACATTACTCCAGCTTTAAAAATATGTGTGCACTATTTTGCACACCAAATATTTTGTACATGAAAACTTAAAAGGGAGGGAGACTAGCCTCAAATAACCAAATCTTGACAGGCAGTTTCTAAGCATAAAAGAGACAGATTTCCAGCTGAAACATTTTTTGTGTGATAGGCCCACATAAATAATGTTTCAAAGAAATTCTTGGCACCCATAAATACCCTGTCAGTGTTACTTTATGTAGGGTTCCGTGTTTTGGGTTAGCTACGGAAAATGCCAGGACTGTTTTTCCAACAAGTAAATTTTTTTTATTGCAAATTCAGTTTTTTTTTTTTTTTAAAACTTATTTTAAATTTCCAACTCTATGCGACAGCAGGGCAACTGTCCCAAAGCAGCGCATCAACACTCTTTTCTTACACTCGGTAGGTTCAGGAATGTTCAGTCAAAAAAAAGGTGACGATAGAATTGTCCGGAACTTTTCACAAGCTCAAACATTGCAAAAAAATGGAACCGGGCCGCACGGTGTTTGAACCTTGTTCCCCAGCGTAGTAGCTGTGTGCGTTTCCAAGTTTGCCACGCACACAGCACTATATGCACAAGCAGGCACCAGGAACAATATTTTCCATAAGGAAATGAATGAGGTATATCTTTCAAGAAAAATTTGTTCTGGTGCTCAGCCAAATTAGAGTTTTTCTGATAAAATCATGTTGAAAAAAACCAAAACAGCAAGCGTTTTAATATTCTGATCTGGTATATGCCCCGGACACAAGTCTGATGCATGACTTTATTCCTTTTAACTACAATCACCTTGTGACCTATTTCTATTAGTTCTCTCACCTTATGTAGGGCATTTTGTGTAACAGGAATGGCTCAAATAAATAAACTTTCTTACCTCACCAACTTGCACTTGTTCCGTGTGTACAATCTTGTGGAGAGAATTGCAGTAGAAGCTGTATGTACAGTATTTTGCGCTGTAGCCCGGCGAATCACACCGCCCATCACCAGCCAGGTGCACTTCTCCTGCGCTCCTCATGCTTTCTAGAAGCTTTTCCTGTTCTGTGTTCCATACCTGTGTAAGAGAACTCAATTTGGAATAGCTTTTTTGGATTACCCGTAGACCTCCGATATATTGCCAGATATGTCACTGAGTTAGGAGTGTGTGCAGCTACCATGCAGATACCTAAGGTATCAGTGCTGCCACTGGTCAATCAATAGATTGTCATAAATGACAAAGGAGGCAAAGTATCGGGGATGAGATGAGACTGGCATCCCAACCATCTAACTTTAGAGCTACACAGATGAGGACAACAAATAACAATGACTCGGTGCTTGACTGACAACCGAACGCTGCTTCAGCGTTCGGCTGGAGTTTGTGCTCTGCTGTCGCCTAAGGGGGAGGAGGGGCTCTGCATGAAGAAGGAAGGTGCATGCTGCATGAACAATGCAGCATGCACGGTGCGTATGCCCAGCTCAGCACAAACGCCCAAGTGGGTTAAGCTCGCATTCTCTGACGGCTGCTTTGGGGAGAGATCCGACACTAACAATGAACGTCACCTCAATTATTATTAGTATTTTTACGTTCAAACGTGCAGCCCTCTCCCTTTCGCAACTTTTCGCCTCACCCCCTCCTTGTCGGGTTCATGATGCCTCGGCCTGCCGTTGCAACAGGCTGCCGACCCCTGCTACAGACTAGAGTGCTTCTAAATTACACACCAGGAATTGCTAAGGATCCTTCAATAATAAAAGTTTGGCTGTACATAGATGCACAACTTGTTAATATATCAGCAAATTATCTGAAATGCTTTGACCCAGTTCACTCATGTACAGCTGGCACGGAAGGAAATAGTGATAGTGGGCGCATTGCTTTTGCTAGATGTTGTGCTACCCCCGCACTAAATGGAGGCTGCAAGTGTGTGGCTGCTGCTTCAGTGCTTTGGACCCTTGCTCGGTGCATCCCAAAATTTGCTTTTGTCCTCTAGGTGATTATACATATGTCATGTCGGAAATCGTCAACCCTCTATTTACATTTCACCCCATGCAGACTACTCTACGGTTAAAAGAATACCGAGTACATACACAGTATTCTCTAAACCTTTCATCACATACAGCAATCAGATATATGACTATTTAAAGCGTCTGTTCATTGAAAACCTATCAGAAAAATCAGAAAAAATTGTATCTGCTGTCTGCATAGTGTTCTTTCAAACTCAACAGAATGAGCTGTAAAACAGTGATTTTAAAACTTACATCAGCTATAGCTGGCAAAAGGTACCCCTCCTGGTACCTGTAGAATGTGCGGTCACACATCACTTGGAGGTTTATGAGCCGCAGCATTCTTAACGTGACGGTGGGGTTCGCTCCACTGAAGAGAACAGCAGAGGAAAGGACAATATTCCCCGCACTCCTGCCAGCCACCTCCGGTTCATTCGTCCAGTTCCTGATATGCTCACTTGCGCACTCAGTAGTCACCGTTAGTTTAGTGCCATCCGTTCTCATCGGTGTTTTGCAAGGGCAGTGGCAAAGGCTGCAGAACTTGAAGAGACGTAGGAGTGATCTCTCGTACACAATGTACTTCCGCTCTTTGTGGGGGTTGGTCTCGTCGGCACTATAAAAAGATTTAAAATCAAAGCTGTAAATGAATTGTATAATATATAGAAGCACCCCAGGTAGCACGCCAGAGGAATGCCCAACTTGGGCAAAGGTCTGGCCAACATAAGGGCCCAACTTTGGCGCAGTTAGGTTTTTGCACCATGGCATTCATCAGTGCCAAAGTACGGTGCCTAACTATAGCCTTAGTTGGGCGATCCTATGGCATGCCAAAGTTTGGCTCTTCTCCGGTACGCCAGAGGAGTGCCAAAGTTGGAGCCATACTTGAGCCATAACTGCCATAGTAAATCCTAATCTGGGAATTCGGGGCGTACCAAGGTTTGGCATTTCTCTGGTCTGCCAGAGGAGCGCCAAAGTTGGTGCCATACTTCAGCCATAACTGCCAGAGCAACGCCTAATTTCGGTATTTGGGACGTGCCAAGGTTTGGCGTTTCTCTGGTCCGCCAGAGGAGCGCCAAAGTTGGTGCCATACCTCAGCCATAACTGCCAGAGCAACGCCTAATTTCGGTATTTGGGACGTGCCAAAGTTTGGCTTTTCTCGGGTCCGCCACAGGATTGCCGAAGTAGTGCAATACTAGAGCTATAACTGCCAGAGCGATGCCCAATTTGGGTATTTTGGACATGCCAAAGTGTGGCGTTGCTCTGGTCCGCCAGAGGAGCGCCAAAGTTGGTGCCATACTTCAGCCATAACTGCCAGAGCAACGCCTAATTTTGGTATTTGGGACGTGCCAAGGTTTGGCGTTTCTCTGGTCCGCCAGAGGAGCGCCAAAGTTGGTGCCATACTTCAGCCATAGCTGCCAGAGCAACGCCTCATTTCGGTATTTGGGGCGTGCTAAGGTTTGGCGTTTCTCTGGTCCGCCAGAGGAGCGCCAAAGTTGATGCAATAATTCAGCCATAACTGCCAGAGCAACGCCTAATTTGCGTATTTCGGACACGCCAAAATTTGGCGTTTCTCTGATACGCCACAGGAGTGCCGAAGTGTGCCATACTTGAGCCATAACTACCAAAGCGACGCCTAATTTCGGTATTTCAGCCTCGCCGAGTTTGGCTTTTCTCTGGTCCGCCACAGTACTGCCAAAGTAAGTGCCAGACTTGAGCCATAACTGCCGCAGTAAATCTTAATTTGTCGATTCGGGGCATGCCGAAGTTTGGTTCTTTCCTGGCTACCCACTGAAGTGGCAAGTAAGTGCCAAAAGTGGTAAAGAAAGCCGAGAGGCCAGCCCAAGTTTCGAATATCTCTGGTGTGTCACAGAAGTGCTCTTTTACGCGTCCCAGAAGAGAAATAAAATAAATAAGCGTTGGAAGCACGATAGTAAGATGTCATCACCTCCGTTCCCAAGCAGCACGGCAATACTTTGCAGTATCGTGCCAGTGCCGGCCGAAAGTCGGTTACAATATCGCTCAACTGTCCAGTTTTGCACCACCGTTTGATACCCGGCAGGTATTGCCGTACAGCCGTTTCGCCCCGGCCTAGCGTTCACGTAATATTGTGCGAAAACTCTATGATGCGTCTGCTTCGTATTGGCCGAACGTCGTGCAAGTATGTGTACGTTGCATGTCATTTGTTGCATATCCAATCACTTATACGGACAAACAAATTTTTTCGATCGCTCCCAGAAGTTTATTAAACAACTATCATTACACACAGTGTATTCTCAACATATTTACAAGGTCACACTTCTCTGTAAAACGAAAAGCAAATTATAAAATACAATTAACACTGTCCTCATGCCAAGCAAAACTCATCACACGTAAAACCGCGGAGAATGAAAGGAAAGCAGGGAAAATGTATATAATATTTATAAGAACACCATCGTCTTCACTGCTTGGCTTTAAATTTTTGGCGCCTCAAATAATCGTAATCAAAATATTTTTATAATTGAAGACCCCTCGTCGTGCATCGAACCCAAAATTACGCTTACGTGAAACATGATTCGGCGCGGGAGCAACTCGAGTCACCGTAATTTTTTTTTTTTTTACGTGGATTTTGTTTTTTAATCTAACTGAGGTACCACTGGCAGAACACGAATCGCATACTTGGAAGGATCTGAAAACTCATATAGCTGGTTGAGTGAATGCAATACTATCGCATTCGTTGAAGCTCGATTTGTTGATTCGAACTTCAACAAAACACACGCACCCATTCTCCCTATTTCTGTTTACCCAGTCATAGTCGTTCCCTCACGATGCACTACGAGTACAAGTAACGGCAGTTTATGCAATGTTGACGATACACAGCCGTGATCGCACGGTTTTTAGAAGCGCTATAGAACGAGCACAAGCGTCTAATTTCGGTACTCTGATTGATTTCTGTCTTCCCGCCGTGACACCACACGACAAAAGCGATTTCGTTCCGTCTGTGAAACTAGGAACAAAGAAATCAAGATATAATCCCGTAATAAAACAACGCGAAATGGATCTCTGCAGCCCATACGAACCGTTCGCGAGGTGACTGGGCAAAAGCATATATTACTTCCGTGCCTTTACCCTCTGCGCACCGCCAGAGAGAGTCATACAAACTCCTTTGCGCTATTATCAACACGATTGCGTTTGCAAGCCGGTAGGATTCTTCCCTTCTGACTTTCATAACTCTCTATGAAACCAGAAAGGTAGATACTTTTCTCCATTGGGTTGGTTTGCCCGGGGCCTCCAGTTATTTACGGCCAAAATCACGCTAGAGGCGCTTCAGCAATGTTCACTCTGGTCGACACACGTGCTCCTTAAAAATGCCTGTCGTCAACCCTTTTCCAAAAGATACTTGAAGAGCCAATCTTAGAGACCGACGGATAACGAGGCCTTAGACCTCAAAGAAATTATCACACAAATTTGGCGTCGTCATTCCCAAACTGGTTGCCGGACGAAATCCAGGGTTGGTAATAGTAACATAAGATACGTACGGCAGAATTCCCTGCCATAAATAAAACGATTTGGCTAACGCCAATGTAACGCGAAATTGGTGCATAGTGTTTTTCGATAGGAAGCGACCAAACAAAAAAAAAAACGAAAAAAAAATAACACGAGAAAAAAAACCATCCTCTGCCCGGTTTCGAAGCTAGGCCCTCTTGATCGTGAAACTAGCGCGCTATCCGTTGCGCCAACATAGCTTTTTTTTTTCTTTCTTTATTGCAAGTTGCGCCAACATAACTCTGCCTGTAATGCTCACGCATTCCCACATCATAGGCGAAAGCTTAGGTGCCTTCGCAGTTTTTCATGCATGTGTTATTTTTATTTGTGGCAAGAGTTCACGTCCAGAATGCTTTTAGAGTTTTCGACCAAAACGAGTTTTCTTCTTCCGAGTCACCTTCTAGAACCAGTAGACCGCACTGGGTCGTCCAGCTAATCAAGCAGCTATTTTCAAATTCTCTGGCGTGCCCGTCCTCGGATCCGAGGTCGCCGTTTGACAAGCTTAACTTTCTTGCACCTTTTAGCCGGAACCCCACGGCAGCTTTGTTCCGTCCCCACTCCCTCTCGAGAGGATGGCTCACCCCGAGGCTAATCCCATTCTCTAAACCTATTTTCATCCAACGCTTGACCTTTCCTTCCCCGTCCCCCAGCTTCGGGACAGAAGGTTCTTCTCTGGAGAACGTCCCGTTTGTACAGCGGCTTTAAAGTTCAGAGATTGTCCTGTCTTTATCGTCCCTTTTGTGTCTCCACTTTTTAATGTTTAAAAAGTATCAACACGCTAAAATAGTACAATTTCCGGGATTTCATTTTCATCCCCCAAGTGTGATGCGGGAACCGCGCCATAGAGCCACGGTCGTTTCCGCACTTTGTTGTCGCTAGGATTTGACAGTGCTCAATCACGATGCAAGACACGCACAGAGCCACGCTCGCTTTTGCAATGCGCCGCCTAAAGGGGTGTCCAAACAGGACACGACTCCGACAAATCGTGAAAATTGAAGCGGGCTTGAAGCGGGCGCGTCCGCTTCAATTTTCACGATTTTTAGGAGTCGTGCCTTTTGTAGTGTCCTGTTTGGACACCCCTCAATAATGATATATCTTGTTGAGACGTGCGCACAGCACTTTCTGTAAAGGCGGATTCACACCGGGGATAGCAGTCGCGCAAACCAACTAAATCGCATCGCAAAAAAAAAAAAAAAAAGTAATTAGTTGGTCAATTTGGCGTGAGCGATGAGCGAGTCCAATGCCTTCGTTGGCGAGTCGCGTCTCAAAAACTCTCGCTCCGAACGCCGTTGGTTGGCTCGGCCTCTCCGCGACTAGAGTGCATCGCAAAACGTCGGGTCAGCAAGCGACTGCTCAAAACCCGTCACTTTTTGCCCGCGATGGTCGCTTTTGCGATGAAAGTTATGGCGCGACTAGATCGCGTCGCCGGTGTGAACGCGCCATAATGTCGAACCAGTCTCACGGCGCGTCCCGATATTGGCTTGTGTACCTACGCGCGAGTAAAACATCTGGCACAATTTGCGTTTGCAAAGCCTGCTCCAGCCGCGTCAAAACATCCAGCCAACCTTTGGACTGCAGAAATCAAGAGACAACCAAAATAAGATAAAGTTGCCAGCCGAATAAAACTTGATTTCTATTTAATTAAGATGAAGACCACCCGCGTACATCAAATACCTCATCAGCCGAACTCCAAGGCAGTAAGCCTAGTTCTGGCACTTGTTTGGCACCTTTGGCCCGTCGCTGCCAGATCACAGCCAAACTATCGGGAAGCGAAGCCTAACTTGGGCACTCGCTTGGCGACTTGGGCCCAAAGATGCCAGATCTCAACCGAACTACAAGGTAGTAAGCCTAACTCTGGCACATCTGTGGCGATTTTGGCCCGAATGTGCTAGGTGACAGCCGAACTGTCAAAAAGTGAAGCCTAACTTTGGCATTAGTTTGGCGCTTTTGGCCTGAAAATGCCAAAGCTCTGCCGAACTACAAGATAGTAAGCCTAACTCTGGCACATCTGTGGCGATTTTGCCCCGAATGTGCCTGATGACAGCCGAACTGTCAAAAAGTGAAGCCTAACTTTGGCATTAGTTTGGCGATTTT